CCACCCTCCACTCGACAGAGGCCAGGGATCCTCGGTGACGCATCTTCACTTTGTCCACAGGGGGGGGTCAGGTAATTCTGGTATCCCTCAAAACCCAAAGGCAGTGCCAGCCTCCTATCTCCTAGCTCTCTTTTGGAACCCCTGAAACATTTTATTTATTCTTTGAGTGTCATATCACAGTCGATTTATAAACAGACTCTTTATATCCACCATTATACCGTCAGAGATGATAGTTGTGAAAAGAAGGATACTCGTCATCAGAGAACCAAAAAGTAATGCCAGCAGGGAACTGTTAAATCAGGAAGCGAGACACTAAAGCACCGCTAATCCTCTGGCAAATTTCTATAGATCATAACATGGGTCTAATTTAGAGTCCCTCCCAAAAAGGTCACCTCCTTATGCCGAGTAGATCAGAAAGTTCCCAATTTAATTTTTAAAAAGGACCCGTTCAATGTGCCACTGACCGTTAAAAAAAAAGTCTCTTCTTTTCCATTCAGTTCTAAATGGTAGAGATGTTTGTATGATCTAGCAGTTTGCAAACCTAGCAACTTTCCAAAATAGTCAGTTAAAATAACACAGTGGTTACCACAAAGATTCAGAAGTAGGAAAATCTGTTTGCGGTGGTAAATCCATTAAGCAGAAAAAGAAAATAGGAAATACTTTTGTGGAAACAATTTAAGGCCTCCCTCATCTGTTAGCTTGCATCTTTTCATTAGAAATTCAGGCAAAAATATTCACAGGAATAAATTAATCATCAGGTTGGCACGGGGACCATATCTTGCTACAGAGAAGTTGAAGCATCACTACCGGCACTAGAGACATAAAACCAAAATGTGTGGTTCAATCAGCATGAGGAAAAAGCCTCTTCTGAGCTTAGCAGCTAATGAGTCATGAAAGGAATGTCACAGCATCACAAAGGTAAGAGGAAACGAGAAAAATATTGACAAACTGAAATAAGGACAGACTAAAAGTTCACACAAAAAAATAACTGAAGAATTGTTAACAACATGTATTTGTAATCATAGGGAAAACAATTTGTAAAAGGAAAAAGGCTGAATAATGGATTACTTCTGCAATATTTTTAATTTCAAAAAGGGTCAGTAACACAGGAGACTTAAGTACAGAAACACCACACTCTGTGTTGAGGAAATAAAAGGAACCATCCAAGGGAGGTCTCCTGCGAATGAAGTATATATCCTAACTTTCAAAATGTCATTTTAAAACATTTCTGGTCATTCTAAAATTTCCTTAATATACATGACACAAGTCTCTATCTTCTTAAATGGAATATATTAGATATAATTTAACCTTTTTCCAACGTCTCAGAGACAGAATTATGAACATGATTTTCTCACTGGAGACCGAAGAGCAATCGGGATTGGGGGGTGGGGAGAATAGGAAGGTACCAATATTTACAGAGCACCTACTATGTGCTTTACTCCATTACCACATTTAAATTAAATTTCATTTTATCTTCCCATAAATCTATGCAAGGATGAGGAAACTGAGACTCAGAGAAATTAATCCCATGCCTCCCAGCCAGTAAATGGGACACTGGGACTGAATCACAAGTTAGCCTGTCAAATCCAAGGGCTGGTCTCTCTAGAAAGGTGCATCTGGTTGTGTCCACCTAAGCAAAGTAAAACCCTGAGGCTGTGCTTTGGACTGCCATGACTGTATGTCACATTTTCTTTCTTCTTTTACTGTCATTTTTTGTCACCATCAGCAAAGTGACCTCTAAAGCTACCCCCCTCACCATACCTTCCAGAACTCCAGCAAAATTATGCCAAAAAGCAAAGTTTATTAGAATCAGGTCAAAATTAATTGTAAACAGACTCTGGATGGAGCCCACCACTACAGGTAAAGGGCAAGAGTTTTAGAACATGAACCCTAATATCTACTTTGGCCACCCATTCTGGCTTTGGACTCTATTTCAAAAAGGTAAGGTTCTCTCTTAGGTGATGTATTACCGTTAATATATCTGGTGATATATTACTATAACATGTTGCTACATACAAGAACATGTACCAAGGACATTTTGGCAACATCAAAAAGGAAACAAACTGTTTAAGACACTGTTTTCAGGGACACAAGAAATAATGCACACCAGAAATCTAAAAGAGCAAGATAAATTCTAGAATAGGTAAAACTTAGGGTTTGCTAACCTGAGCGGGACAGGGAAGTAAAAATTAAAAGAAGAAAGAAAATGCTGGTGTATATATACAGCCCAAGAGAGGCTGAAAGAGGCAATGAATGGAAAATAAAATGCTAAGATACTTCAGGAGTGTGGTAGTGTTCAAAAGCATCACCATCACAGGGGTCATTGTTGGGACACTGTTCTTTTAAGAACCAGTCATACAAACATTGAAACACCTGAAACAGTTGAACAAAAGAGCAATTTTTATGCAGACACAGACACACAGATGAAAGGAACACAACAGAAAGCCCAGAAACAGAGCACCATTATTTTAATGATTTGTTATTTGATAAAGGAAGCATCATACATAAATCTTCTTTTTTTCACAAACAGCAAATGGTGTTGGAATAGTAGGCTAGCAATTTTAGGGTTAGCAGGAGATAGGGATTTAAATTAAATCCAGTTGCCTTAAGTTCAGGGGTTTTCGTTTGGGTAGTTTCATTTTTAGTACAACTATGCCCTTACTGATTTCTGCCAACTGGATCTGTCCATTTCTGAGAAGGGCATTGAAGTCATCAACTATGGTAGCAGAGTCACCTATTAGTTTTTGCCTCATGTACTCTGATGTTCTGTTGTGAGACACATACACATTAGAACTGTGATGTCTTCCTGGAGAATTGATCCTTCTATCATTATGTAAAACCCTTCTTTATCTCTGATAACTTTCCTTACTTTGAAGTCTGTTCTGTCTGAAATTAATAGCTACTCCTGCTTTCTTTTCATTAGAGTTGGCATGGTATATTTTTCTCCATCCATTTACTTTTCATCTATATGTGTCTTTATATTTAAAGTGAGTTTCTCATAGACAACAAGTAGTTGGGTCCTGTTTTTGACCCATGCTGACAATCTCTGTCTTAACTGATACATATAGATGACTGATACACAAAGTGATTATTAATGTGGCTGGATTAGCATCTACCATATTTATTACTGTTTTCTAATTTTTGCCCTTGTTCTTTGTTCCTATTTTGGTCTGCCTTCTGTGATTTTAATTGAGTATTTTATATAATTTCATGTTCTCTCCTTCTTACATATCAGTTATATTTTTTCCCTTTTGTTGGTGGTTGCCCTAGAATTTGCAATATCCATTTATGACTAATTCAAGTCCATTTCCAAATACTCTCTGTACTATCTTCACAATAATTTTATAAATCTAAAACTATTCCAAAATAAAGAGTTTATTTTTTTTAGTCCTAATCACAACTTTCTTCTTTTTCACATAAACAAACATTCAACAATATAAACATTAAAATTTTTGGACAACATAAAAATGTATAACTAACATAAAGAAAAATAGCAATTAGGGAAAATATCTGAAGCAAATATAACAAAAGATTAAACTGTATATCTGTTTTAAAGTTCATAAGTATGTAAGAGAGACAGTGAGAAAAAGTTAAGCATGTTAGACTAGAACTTATATAAAAGGAACTACAATGTGGTAAACAACGGTAATAAAGAAAAATTTTAAAAACTTAAGCAATTAGTTATTACTTGAGTAGCAAAACCGTTTCAAATAGCACCCAGTGGTGATGCTAAATTTTATTTTCTTTAAAGATTTGTTTACTTATTTGAGAGAGAAAGAGAAAGAAAGCAAGCATGAGCAGGGGGAGGGGCAGAGGGGGAGGGAGAGAGAGAATCTCAAGCAGTCTCCTTGTTGAGCGTGGAGCCCGATGAGGGACTCGATCTCACAGCCCTGAGATCAAGACCTGAGTAGAAACTAAGAGTCAGACACTCAATCAACTGAGCCACCCAAGCGCCCCGTGATTCTACATTTTAAACCACTTCACTTACACAGTATTGGTAACCACATAAACTGATAAAACTCTTTTGAAAGTGTTATGGACTGAATTGTGTCCCCCAGAATTCATGTGTTGAGGCCCTAACCTCCACTGTGATGGTGTTTGGAGATGAAGCCTTTGGGAGAAAATTAGGTTTAGATGACGTCCTGAGAAGGGGACTCCCATGATGAAATTAGTGCCTTTGTATGAAGAGGCCTGTTTGTCTGTCTGTCTATCTGTCTGTCATGTGAAGACCTAAGAGATGGCAGCCATCTACAAGTGGGATTGAAACGCCATCAGGCTCTGCACTCAGCGCAGGATCTGCTTTGGATTCTCTCTCCCTCTCCCTCTGCCCCTCCCACTCGGGCTCTCTCTAAAATAAATAAATACATCTTTTTTTTTTTTAATATTGTATAAAGAGCAATAAAAATCTCTATCCCTTTTAATCCAGTAATCCTACATCCGTGAAGTTAATCTTTGGAAATAATTAAAAAACATGACAAAGCTATATACATGAAAATACTCATTACTTAGTTTTAAGTTTTTAAACTGGTTAACAACCTAAATGTCTAACAAAGGAGAAATGGATAATTGTAGTGTTCCACTTGCTCTAACAGGGTATCATGTAAAATCAGTACAAAAACTATGCAGACTTATAGGATATGCTTGTAATAAAATTAAGAGCACACCAAAAGTGAAATTCCACAATATGAGGTTACTCATGTAAAAACACATGCACAAGATGTCACAGGGTTGGGTATAAACAAATAAATTTGTTGGAAAACATTTCTTCTTTTTAGTTGAATTAAGGTTACAAGAAATAATACTCAAAAATATATTTGCTAGTAACATCAGATAGATTCTTTCTTAAGCGTTATCACATTCTAACTCCTGAATTACAGAACTGATTTCTTTTTGGCAGTAGTCACAACTCTCAAAAAGTAAGGAAGAAATATTTACACATTTTATATAAGAGAACCATCAATTTTTCTTTACTATATACTTTTAATTATGTTACTACTTACATAGAGATGGTTTCCATTGCATCTTCAAAGATGTCCTAGAGGGGAACAAAAAATACAATGAGTTTCTCAAGAATTAAGAACTCCAAATGTGAGAAAATGAGTATGTACATAAGTGCAGGAGCGAGGGTTAGGGAACAATCTGGGTGGGATGCAGTAGATTCACTCAACTTTTACTAACGGGCTGTCTTCCAGAGAAATCAAGCAAATGAATTTTAGTGAGGTTCAATTTTTTTAAATAATTAAGACAGATAAAACTAGCAATCACACTGGGCTAATATGAAGAGTGTGATTTCCTTAAAGGAATTATGTTTCAGTTCTCGGTCTCATTCATCCAGATACAGAATAAAACAACTGGATTTGCCCAATTTATTTTTTTTTAAAGATTTTTATTTATTTATTTATTTATTTGAGAGAGGGAGAATGAGAGAGAGAGAGAGCACATGAGAGGGGGGAGGGTCAGAGGGAGAAGCAGACTCCCCGCTGAGCAGGGAGCCCGATGCAGGACTCGATCCCGGGACTCCAGGATCATGACCTGAGCCGAAGGCAGTCGCTTAACCAACTGAGCCACCCAGGCGTCCCTGGATTTGCCCAATTTAGTCTTCTCTTACTCCACAGCCAAGTTTCTGGGCCTTCCTTTCACATCCAGCTCCACTAACCTCCTGGCTAGTCTTCCTCCCACCAACTTGCCCCAGTTAATCTATACCACAAAGGCAGCCCTTTCCTTCATGCCACTGGCCTGCCCATTCAAAAGCTACAACAGGAAAAAACTCAAGTGTGCACACACACACACTCATATGCACTTACAAATACACACACACACCTCACAGATACACACTCACACCCACTCAAACTCACAGTCACACACACACTTACAAATACACTTCCACTCACAAACTTACCAAAAATCAAATGCACGCTCTCATTCAGATATTTGGGACTCTCTGTAAACTAGTCCACTCTTCAAAGCATCTTTCTCCCTACGTCTGTGCCACCACCATCATACCCAAGCACAAGGAACTCACTGGTCTCCCCACTCCCACGCTTGACACCCTCCATCTGAGTTTTCACACAGCTGTATTCTTTTCTTTCTCTTGTTTTCATAAGCTTGTGCCATTTCACTGTCCTGGGCCTCTTTTTTTTTTAAAGATTTTATTTATTTATTTGAGAGAGAGAGAATGAGAGAGAGAGAGCACGAGAGGGAAGAGGGTCAGAGGGAGAAGCAGACTCCCCGCCGAGCAGGGAGCCCGATGCGGGACTCGATCCCGGGACTCCAGGATCATGACCTGAGTCGCTTAACCGACTGAGCCACCCAGGCTCCCTGTCCTAGGCCTCTTTATGAGCTTTCCATTGCACTTAAAAAAAACCCAAATTCCTTCCCATGATCTACAGAGCCCTAGATGGCTCTACCACCCTCTGACCACCTCTCCACCGACCTGCACCCTGGCTCACCCCATTTCATGTGCAAGTCTGTCTTTCTGTGACTTGAACAAGCCAAACTCATCCCTCACCTCTCTTCATCATGCTCTCCTTCCTAGAATGCTCTCCACTCAACTCTTCCTGTGGCTGACTCATTCTCATCCTTCTATTTCCAACTCAGAAAGAGAATGTCTCTAATAACCTCAATTAAAATTACTAAGAATAGCAGCTTAAAGTTTCTTGTCATCTGATTTATTTCGTTTATAAAATTTATCAAAATCTGTAATCATCTTGTTTACTTACTTGGTTACAGTCTGTCTCCATCAGAGCAGATTCTTACTTATGTCTACAGAAAAATCACCAGGGCTTGGCAGAGTAGTTGGTCAATAAATACACGTTGCCTAATGAATGAGTAAATTGAGCTCAGGCTATCAAGGCACTGATTACATCATCTCATTTCCAGCTATGATGCCGAAATGAGGAAAGAGGGTTATAGAACTTTTCCCTTGTGTGACAATTGATACTAAACAATGTTTAGACTACATCGAGCTCTACATTTAGGCAGGAAAGAAAAAAAAGTATACAAACACTAAGAAGAAACAACACTGTAAGTAGTGGCAGAAGTTCAGACTTCGAGGGGGCTCCTGGGCGGCTCAGTCAGTTAAGTGTCTCTCTTCAGCTCAGGTCATGATCCCGAGGTCCTGGGATCAAGCCCCATGTCGGGCTCTCCGCTCAGTAGAAGCCTGCTTCTCCCTCTCCCTGCTGCTCCCCCTGCTTGTACTCTCTCTCTGTGTGTCAAATAAATAAATAAAATCTTTAAAAAAAAAACCTTAAAAAATTTTTTTTATTAAAAAAAAAAAAGAAGTTCAGACTTTAGGATCCCTGACCCATTAATCTACTACATTGGGAGGTAGGTATAGTCAAGGCAATTCAATCTTAATCGCACTTTCCTGCAGCAAAAGCAGAAGCTCATAAACCAACTAGTAGAAGAGAAATGAGCTAGTCCTGAAGCAAAAGAACCTAAGCCAAGAGTAAAAAGATGCTTCTCTGGCCACTATTAAAAATGACCAATTGAGGGGCACACCTCGGTGGCTCAGAGGGTTAAGCATCTGCCTTTGGCTCAGATCATGATCTGAGTCCTGGGATCATGCCCTGCATCAAACTCCCTGCTCGGCAGGTAGTCTGCTTCTCCCTCTCCCTCTGCTAACTACCCCCTGCTTGTGCTCTCTCTCTCTCTCTGTCTCAAATAAATAAAATGTAAAAAAAAAAGGAATGGAGAAAATCTACCAGAGTTCTAGGATATTATTCTAATAAACTAGAGATGAGAAAGAGAGGGACAGAGAGAGAGAGAGAGAGAACTTCATCTATGAAGGCCAGCCAAAAGGTGAAAAACGTTTTTCATTTAAAAAGAGGAAAAGTGGGGCACCTGGGTGGCTCAGTCATTGGGCATCTGCCTTCGGCTCAGGTCATGATCCCAGGGTCCTGGGATCGAGTCCCACATGGGGCTCCCTGCTCAGCGGGGAGTCTGCTTCTCCCTCTGCCCCTCCCCCTGCTTGTGTTCCCTCTCTCACTGTGTCTCTCTCTGTCAAATAAATAAAATCTTTTAAAAAAATAAAATAAATAAAAAAATAAAAAGAGGAAAGGTGGGGCACCTAGGTGGCTCCATTGAGCATCTGGCTCTTGGTTTTGTCTCAGGTTGTGATCTCGAGGTCTCGGGATCCAGCCCAGCCCCAGGCTCCCATTCATTGAGGAGTCTGCTTGAGATTCTTCCCCCCTCCCTCTCCTTTGCCCCCTTCCCTTGCTCACAGGCACTCCCCCTCTCTATATATGATAAATAAATAAAATTTTGCATATATATAAAAAAAAGGAAGGTAAAGAGAAGAACTGATTGATCGAGCCCCTATCATGTGCCAGGAATTTTACAAAAGTTATCTCACTTGTTCCTCCTCATTCATAGCAAGTAAATCCAGGTCAGTCGTAGGTAATTACCTGACCCATATTACACAGCTGGTAAGGGAAGGAACTGGGATTCAATCTCAGATCTTCAACTTCCAGTTATTTTTTTTAACGTCCAAACTATGCACAATCTGGAACTCAGGCAGCTGGGCAGGAGCGGTGGGGACCGAGGCGGGGAGAGGAGGGGACAGTGTCTTCTCAAGGTCATACCGCAGCATTGTTGAACAATTCCTCCCAGCAATTCTCTCATTCTCTAGGAGAATATCCTTGTGTTTGACTTGACTATTTACTATCTGATTAGAACGCAGACAGTGTGAGGTTACACGTTAACTTCTAGATTTCTGAATGGCAGGAAAACCTTTTAAAGACTACAGTTTTATTACCCTGTAGGGCATTACCCAGTTTTACGTATGACCTAGCAATCTTAATCTACCCTTGTTTTTTAAGCCTATAAATACCCAGTTCCTCAAATACTCTTTCAATCAGTTTACCATCTCACTGGTTTCCTCCACTGATGGGTCAAATTAAACTTTGACACGTTCATTTTATATCTTTATGGGAATTATATTTGTAATTTGTGGAAATTATACATTAACAGCAACAACACACTCTCTCCCTAGGTACCTGCAAATATGATGGTTTCCCTGATCCGTGAGAAAACTGATGTGGACTCTGCCGGGGGAAGAAAGACCAGAAGTCAGAGACATCTGCTCAGACCTCCCGCAGCATATACCCAGGAGCCAATCGTGTCCTTTTCCTTCTGTTTCTCTAGGTTTCAACACCCAGCTCAAATTCTATCCCTCTGCTGCCGCTGCTTCAGGAGCTCCCTTCCTCTGTGGATTCCCATCAAGATCCCTAGGTCTGGCATTAGACCCGACGGCTAGTCAACAGCCTCCAACCCAGCACCCGCATATATTCTCCACAGAGCATAACTAGATTTCTCTACCTATGGCCTCTTTATTTTATTTCTCCACTCACCACCAACTTCCCAGTGCTTCTCCACTGGTGGTTTTTATTTGCCCAGTGATCACCACAAGCTGTTTCCCTTAAACTTCCCAGGCCTGGGTAGGCTCAACATGTGAACTCCAGTTGAAACACATACAATCAGAGAAGCATCCAGAGTCCTTCCAGTTGAAAGACAGTAAGAGAGGCAAGATCATGCTGCTGACAAATATGACATGCTCATCGGAAAGCCCCTGTGTTTAGTTTCTTCCTGGAAGGTTGCTGCATTGGCCTCCCCCATTCCCACGCTGGGCCAACCCTGAGGAGCAACTACCCTTGGGCATAGTGTAACAAATGCTTATTTGAGCCACACCTGGCTCCTAATCATGCATTGCCTCAAAATGGTACCTTTTTCCAGAGCCTATTTTGACTCCCTGGCTGCAGTCAAGGGCCTTCGTACACCTTTCGAATCCACTTTATAACCCAGCATAGTATTTTGCACTTCACAGACTCAGCAAATAATCGTTGCTGACTAGCTGGCTGAGTACCCTTGTCTTAAGAGGAAAGGTCCTTACCTTGAGCGGTTTTATTTTGATTTAGCAAATGGGCTAACCCTGTATGTGAAAGAGTCCCTGGAGGACCTTCTGGATGAAAGGCTGGCACTCCAGGGCCTGCTCCTGCTGGGTGGGGAGCCTGAAACCTCCCCCTGCCCCCAGATGGA